CTACAGTCCCTAATGAAGAGTCCCTCTCCAGCACCCCTATAGGCCCCCTTCAGATACTGGAAGGCTGCTATGAGGTCTCCATGCAGCCTTCTCTTCTCCAGGCTGAACAGCCCCAACTTTCTCAGCCTGTCTTCATACGGGAGGTGCTCCAGCCCCCTGATCATCCTCGTGGCCCTCCTCTGGACTTGTTCCAACAGTTCCGTGTCCTTTTTATGTTGAGGACACCAGAACTGCACACAATACTCCAGGTGAGGTCTCACAAGAGCAGAGTAGAGGGGCAGGATCACCTCCTTCGACCTGCTGGTCACGCTCCTTTTCATGCAGCCCAGGATACGGTTGGCTTTCTTGGCTGCAAGCGCACACTGCCGGCTCACGTTCATTTTTCTCATACAACAACACTCCCAAGTCCTTCTCCGCAGGGCTGCTCTGAATCTCTTCTCTGCCCAACCTGTAGCTGTGCCTGAGATTGCTCCGACCCAGGTGTAGGACCTTACACTTGGCATGGTTAAACTTCATGAGCTTGGTATCAGCCCACCTCACAAGTGTGTCAAGGAGGTCCCCCTGGATGGCATTCCTATCCCTCCAGGGTATCAACCACACAGCTTGGTGTCATCGGCAAACTTGCTGAGGGCGCACTCAATCCCACTGTCCATGTCAGCGACAAAGATGTTGAACAAGACCGGTCCCAACACCGATCCCTGAGGGACACCACTCGTTACTGGTCTCCAGCTGGACATTGAGCCATTGACCACAACTCTTTGCGTGTGGCCATCCAGCCAGCTCTTTATCCACCGAGCAGTCCATCCATCAAATTGATGTCTCTCCAATTTAGAGACAAGGATGTCGTGTGGGACAGTGTCGAACACTTTACACAAGTCCAGGTAGATGACATCAACTGCTCTATCCCTGTCCATCAGTTCTGTAGCCCCATCATAGAAGGCCACCAAATTGGTCAGGCAGGATTTCCCCTTAGTGAAGCCATGCTGGCTGTCACCAAGCACCTTGTTGTTTTTCATGTGCCTTAGCATGCCTTCCAGGAGAATCTGCTCCAAGATTTTGCCAGGCACAGAGGTGAGACTGACTGGTCTGTAATTCCCTGGGTCATCCATTTTCCCCTTCTTGAAAATGGGGGTTATATTTCCCTTTTTCCAGTCATCGGGAACTTCACCTGACTGCCACGATTTCTCAAATATGATGGCCAGCGGCTTCGCAACTTCATTTGCCAGCTCCTTCAGGACCCGCGGATGGATCTCATCAGGACCCACAGACCTGTGCACGTTCAGATTTTTAAGATGGTCTCGAACCAGTTCCTCTCCTACAGTGGGCTCAAGGTCTTCATTCTCACAGTCCCTGCATCTGCCTTCCAAGACTTGGGTGGTTTGGTCAGAGCCTTTGCCAGTGAAGACTGAGGCGAAGAAGTCATTCAGAACCTCAGCCTTCTCCAAATCCTGTGTAGCCAGTTCTCCTGAGAGCTTCTTGAGGGGGCCTACATTCTCCCTAGTCTGTTTTTTATTTGCTATGTACCTGTAGAACCCCTTCCTGTTATCTTTGATACCTCTAGCTAAGTTTAATTCTAACTGAGCCTTAGCTTTCCTAACCTGGTCCCTAGTCACATGACAGGCCAACTTCACTAATCATTACCCATCCACTGTATGTATGCAAAGATGTACCTTTTTATGACATTAGTTATGGGTATTTATTAGGTTTGGGTATTTATGTTTGGGGGTTATTCAGAATGTATGAAATGGTACTTTCTCTCTGGTATATTTAAGTTGAAATTATTAAAGTTTTTAAAAGGGGCACTTTTATGATATTTTCTATTTCTTATTAATTATCTTGAACTTATGTATGAAGAGGCTCCTTTGGACTGCAAAAATCTCCCAGGCTAAAGGCATATGAGGAGGAAAAAAATATGATTTTTTGTATAATGCAAAGAAGTTTTCAAGTAAATGGAAATTAGAATCAGTAACTACAAGGTCCTTGTGTTTATCTAGCTGCATGGTTTCTTGGGTTTTGGTGGGTCTTGGTTTTTTGTTGGGTTTTTTTTTTTTACTCTCCCCAGGTGTACTTGGGAAGTCTGGGACTTGGAAACCTCAATTTTAGTGCAAATGCACCCAGAGTACATTTAAAGATGATGTTCTCCCTCTCTCCTGTTTTCCTGGTCACCCTTCTATTGGCAGATTTGCAGTTTTTAAAATTTAAAGATTTTCTCCTTAAATGCAATTTATCCTTTTTTTTTTTTTTTTTGCTACTTTTAATTATTTTTGTCAGCCTTATATGACATTGCAGCAAGACAGTGCTCTTGCTATATTATCTGACTACCTTGCCAGATGGCAACAAGGGAATTCTTCAGTACTTGTGAATTAGTTTGATATCACCTGTCAGTGAGAGCTTACTTAGGGTGTAAGATAAAGGCTCATGACCACAGCACTGGCACAGTGATTTCTGCCATGTATTCCCTGTAATCACCATATGCAGTAGATGTTTATCTGGTTGAGTTTGTACCTTAGCATGAAGTTAAAAAAAAATAATCCTGAAGAAAAAGTGAATACCTCTTCCAGATGGCAATGAAAATATTCTCTCCCTGCCAGAATTTGTAAAAGAGGATACTTTTCTTGCAAGAGTAAAGCACACCTCTCTGGCAATGCTATAAGGTACTGCTGCTGCAAGGCAAGAGACAACAACGTTTCTCATCTTGCTCAGATTTCAGAAATGCACTCCTTGTGACAGCTGGCTTCCTACTTGTGTACCTCTGAAATTGCCCTAGATTAACATAAAGGTTATTTAGACGTCTGAAAAAGGTTTGGAAAGGCTGAAAGTATAGCAGAACTCTGCTGAGTGCTAAATCTAGTAATTTTATGGTTAGAATTACTACCAAGAAAGGACTTAGAGAAATGCTGGAAAAACAGCAGGATGTTGCTCTGTGGTCAGTGTGACTTCTTTTCATCATAGCCAGAACACTGCTGAAATTGAGTTTAAAAAGGCATCCCAGAAGTAGACACAGGTAAGTAAAGCTGTGGCAGCTTTCATGTTATGGATGAACACAGAATTCAGTGAGAAGTAATACTGTCATAAATCATCAGAAAGGTGTAAGTCAGAAGCAAAAGATTATTAGGGGTTTGAATCCATTTCTTGCTAGTGGACAACTGCTGTCTGCAACATGTGTATTTTGCAGCTCTTGATGCAAACTCACAATGCCAAATGCAAACATCACACCAGATGTGAGCAAAGCAGAGGGAGCAGGGCTTTGTCTCCTATTTGTACCACCCCTTCCAACGAGTTCCTGTGATGGGTTTGACTGGGATAGAGTTAATTTTCTTTATAGTAGCAAGCACGGGGGGCGGGGAGGGTATTTTGGATTTGTGCTGGTTTTCTTACTGCTGAGCAGCGCTTACACAGAGTCAAAGCCTTTTCTGCTTCTCACCCCACCAGCGAGGACTAGAGGTGCACAAGGAGTTGGGCGGGAACACAGCCAGGACAGCTGAACCCAAATGAACCAAGGAATATTTCATAACATATGTGGTCATGAGCAGCACACAAAGCTGGGGAAATAAGGGAAGCAGGGAACATTCAGAGTGATGGTGTTTGTATTCCCAAGTTACTGTTATGTGTAATGGAGCCCTACTTTCCTGGAGATGGCTGAACACCTGCCTGCCCATGGGAATCAGTGAATGAATTCCTTGTTTTGCCTTGCATGTGTGTGTGGCTTTTGCTTTACCTCTTAAACTGTCTTTATCTCAACACACAAGTTTTCTCATTTTATCTCTTCTGATTCTCTTCCCCATCCCGCTCTGAGAATTGAGCAAGTGCTTAGGTGGGGATTAGTTGCCAGCTGGGGTTAAACCACATACATATATACTTTAGTGATTTGGTATCTTGTGCTTGACTGTTATCCACCACTCCTGGTTCAACCTATGGGTAATTTGCATTCCTGAGAAACTTACAGACTACAAAGATTTTTATCCATAACAGAAGAGAACTTTTATATGTGCACTGTTTGCAACATTATGTTCTGCTAAACCGTGAGCCCAAAATACTCACTAAAGCTTTAGTGACTCTTCATTACAAAAATTACTATCCGGTCCTAAGAACATCTTGCTAATGTTAGTGGGTGGACCATGATGCAACAGCAGTGGTTTCAGAGATTAATATTTTTTGGTTGTTGCTATTATTCACAGCATTTCCAAAAGAATAACACAGCTCTGCTTACATTTTTGAAAAAAAAAACAAAAAAAACCCCACAACATTTTCAAACATTCACCACCAGTTAAACAGAAGGTTGCTTCTAGGAAATTCCTTCAGCAGCTGGGAGAAGACTCACAAATGGTGATCATGAAGCTTGCTGTAGAGTCATGTATTAAAAATTGCTTGAATTTTATAATAATTTATACAGTTCAAATAATGCATTCTATTTATATACCTTTTTCCCTTTGTCGCCATTATTGAAACAGCAAGATTTCTGAAGAAATAAAATAGGCATCATTAGATGTTAACTACAATCAATTAGTAAGGTCAGTAGCAAAAGCATTTATCAACTGAGAAATAAAGAATGTCTTTGAACTATTCAGAAAAATACTAAACTTGTGGCTGAATAATTAGACACTATTGAAAAAAAAGTGTTTAATTTCACTAACTCAACCGCTGTGCTCAAAAATCTTTCTCTTTAATGTATAGTGAAAACATATAGCTCAGTGCAGGAATGGTTTAAAAAGCTTAGCTCAAGAATGAGAAGCATAGAGTAACTTCAAGTGTCTTAACAACAGCCATGTCAAGTTGGCATTTATTCCTCAGTTTGTGAAATTATTAAAAGAGTACAGAAAAAGATATCAAAAATCTAGAGAAAGTCAGTAGTTTTGAAGTCTGTACTTCAGAGGTTTTAATATGAATGTTGGTACTCATTGAAATCAAACTGCACTTGAATGAAAGCAAAGTTGGAACAAATACTTTGAAATGTATTTTTTTTTCTTCAAAAAAAGCCCTACCGTTTGTACCGTTCTTACCTGCAGAGGTTTTCACAACTTCTGAAGTGTTTCTGAGACCCATAAAGTCAAACTGATAGAGTCTCCAAGATTTCTGGTCAGCAGCCTCCACAGAGTTTTTCCTCCATCTGTATATCATTTCCTCTTTAGGGTAGCCATCTAGAAATTAATATATATATATATATATATGAATACATTGCATGACATAGAAAAAGATACTGCAAAACAGTATGTGTTCACTGATTGAGTTATTTGGGAATACCTGAATTTTTGATCTGATGCTTTCTCAGTGAGTTTGGTTGTGTAATTCAGCTAAAGAGTTATAAGGCAATTGAAAAAATAGATTCACAATACTGGCAAAACTGTGATTTTTAACAATTATTTCTTTTGCAATTGAGAGAAATTCAGATCAGTTTTATCAGAAGCAAATCTCTTCAGAGATGCAGTTGATTGTACTAATTTGAGGTCCAGACAGAGACGTATACTACTTTATGTATGCTCTGAAGAAGCTGTGCAAACAGCTAGAATGTGAAAAAAAGTGGGGTGCTGGGGGAGGCAGGGCCAGTGTAAGTCGTAAACAATTGAAAAGGACAGATGCTTTTAAACATGACAATAGTTCAAGTGTGATGCGTGCCACTGTACATCTGAAATGAGCTCAATATAGTGCAAAAAAGCAAAATTTTAATTACTATGGGATTTTTTAAGTGGTTAGCCATCATATTATTTCAAATGGCTCTGGTATTTAATGAGTTCACCTGATAAAGCTGAAAAAACTTCTGAAAGTCTTCATTTATCAACTTAGCTCTCAGTAGTCATAATTAATCCTTATGCCAATATTTAATTTCCTTTTTGTTAGAGAATGGCATTTTCCAATAGAATTCTAACAACAAATCTTCAAACAGCCTAAACCGTAATAATAGACCACCTAGAACACAACAGTGTGCCCATGCTAGTTAAAACGAGATTGTTCTCTAATGCATAAGACAATAAATTCTTATTCATCTAATAATTAATATAGTAGATGTAGATTACACGGAAAATTAAAAACCTAACAACAACAATAGCCAGCTCATATAACTGTCTTGTCAGTAATTTTTTTTTCCCCATTAGATACTGATGTTTTCTCATATTTGCATTGCAAAACAACTTCTCTGTTCATGGTGCTATATCCTTGACATTTTCCTCCTAAGACTGTCTTCTTCAGCTTGTTTAAGATTCCATCCTGCTGGGGCACTTCTGTAAGGTGTGCATGGCCTCATTTATCCCTCTCACTAACACAGCATGAAAAGTACCCACAAGTCCCTTAGTTCTAATCTGTAGAAAATGACTATGTGTTTATTCAAAATGCCACGTTCATATATTTCCCATCAATGTAAAATAACGAAATAACCCACAAAGGACCCAACTGAGTAACAAACACAATCCCTGCCGCTCTCCATGAGAACTCTTGCTGTCAAGTACATTTGCTGCCAATTCTGCTGTGCCAGTCTGTAAGACTGATCTAAAGGTTAATTTTTTTTGGCTGGCTGACTATGTCAAAGGATGCAGAGGCACAGTGAAAGAAGTCAAATTTTGCAGGGCCTTTTGAGCCTTAGCCCTGAATCCTCTGAAGTCCTTTCAAGTCTGGCTCCTATTTGACTGAGCCCTCTGATCATATTTATCATCGAATAATGTGTCTTTCTAAGAGAAAGCCTTCTTCTCAAATTGACTTAATCTGTAGAGAACTTGGTATCTTTTCCCCACAGTTCAGAAGGGAAGAAGCATCAGACGGACTCCTCACCACGCTGTGGCTGCTGTGCCCTCACTCTGGACAGTGGTGGCAGAACTATTCCTTCCTCACAAAGCAGTATCAGGACCACATGGGGGACTGCCATGTGGTCTGAATCCTAATTGTACCTCCTGATTTGTCTCCTGATGCAGAAGAAATGAAATCCTTGCCCTGTTGCACAACTCACACTGCAGAACTTGTGACCCTAAGTGCTAATTAGGAGATTTTATAGCAGGCAAAGGGGCCCCTTTTCTCAGGCAGATTTCACCATAATCATTGCTTCAAATATCTTGGAAAATGTGCTAAGGTAAAAATGCTTCAAATATCTTGGAAATAACACAGATTTTCTTTTTTAAAAATATTGGTCCAAGATGAACTTTTAATATATTTTTTTCAATTTACTGAAAAAAGTTCTGACAAAATTTGAATTCAGTTTCTTCCTGATTCTTCTTTTTTTTTTTTTTTGCTTTTTTTTATCCCATGGCCACCCCACCAAAAATCCATTACACCATTAGTTAAGCTTGAAATGTTACTATCATATTATCCAAGGCATAGCTGTTTATCCTCACATGAGCTGCATGTAGTCAAGAACAAGTTCATAAGACTCTTATCCTTCAGCATTATTCCCATATTTGTGCCTAAGAAGAGACAGATTCAATTTCAGAACAACTACTTTCTGCATAATTCATCATTATTAAACAGTAAGCACCTGACTTCAGGGCAACATCATGCCCTTTCAGTAGTAGTTCCCTTAATCTACAGTCACTAACATCTGCTATTACAATAGTTGAGTTACTTACATCAAAGGAGGTAAGTATTAGTGATTCAACGGGGGTTGTTTCAATCTGCTAAATAACTGCTGTTATGTTCTGCTCCAGTGACAGGTGACTTTACTTCTCAATTAATTTAAGAGATATATTTCTTATGGAATAATGACACATCTATTTGGACAGCATATCACTCCTAGGATTCATTTAACTTACAAAATGGACTGTTGTGATGGTTCTTCTTTCAGTGATATAAAATATTTCCTGTATACAGACTAATCTCTTCTATCCCTCATTATAAAAATATATCCTTCACTATAGAAATATCAGAGCTGGGGAATTTATTACCTCCACACACAAATGCAACTGCTGCTGTTCAGCCCACAATGTAACTAAGAGTATATTAACTATAAAAGTATCTGGTTTCTTTCCCTTCCCCAGCATGACAAATGGCAGTAAATTGTGTTAAATTCTTCACACTGGGGATTCAAGCCATCCACATTAAACAATTTGCTATCAAGTGTATTTACTCTGTCAGGTTGCTTTAGGCTATGTAAGAATATCCATACTGCAGCAGGGTAAGGGTTCAGAAGGTTCTGGAGCTTTTCCAGCAGTTGCTGGTAAGACAGCTAGGGGAATGTCTTGGGAAGAAGACAACCAAGTGTGTGTTCTGCATTACAGCCATTCAAGTTCTGGCAACCTGTAACTCAGTATCTTCTCAACCAAAACCTGCATCAACACCTTCATTATCCCTCCCATGAATTTACTTGATTGCCTTTAAATTCTCCTGCTTTTTGGCCTGATTGTTATTTTTGCAGGCTGTGCTGTTGTTATTCACATCTTCTGCAGGTTTTAGATACATACACCACCATGTCTAAGACTTCCAAACAGCACCTTGACGATTTAGTTTTTTGCAAGACTGGTACTACATGCATTTGTAAAATCAACTGAAGAACAAATCTGGATGAAAACATTTCTTTAAGAGCCCAGTAGAAATTATCTATGTAATACCTTCTGTTTACTTTCATCAAACATAATGGCTTTTCCAGTAATAGGTTTGGTACCTTTGTTACTTTACTCGCAGGCTTTAAACACATACATTTTCAAAGATTACCACAGACTTGAACTGCAATAATGCAAATATGGATAAGCAATAAATGCACTTTTTGTCATTTTGGAGGTGAACATATAACAGAAAGCAAAATTGTCATGACAACCTGTGATGTCCTCTGGATATTGTTCTACCTGCCTTTTGTTATTGGAAGAAATGAACTCATGTTAACACATCTTCTCACATCACCACCATATAATTTATAATTTATAGGTTAAAAATACTTGAATTTCATTCTTCAAGTTCATAGTGCTTCACTTTCTAGGGAAACTGAGCAATTTGTGACAAAGCCTGCACCAAAGAGCTGGAAAAATGGTCAAGGCCAGAAACATCTCAAGACTTGATGAGAGGCGTATGTAATCACAAGATAGCTGTGAGAAATGGTGTCAAGTGGCCCTGAAACACATTTGCTACAAGAGCCAACACTGATTTAAAACCAGAAACTTCCGTAATACAGCCACTGATGTATCCATGCCTGTTAGCGCATACTGCCTCTAACCTTGATTTTCTCAATGCTATTGTTGGTCTGGGCATCTTAGATCAATGCTTGATTTCTTTGTTTCACCTTCTTTTCTGTGACAATGGGTCTATTTTAGGAAGTGAGAAGAGGTAGAAAGAAGATAGCAGGAAAGGGGTGTCATGGTTTAAGCTGGCAACATGCAGCCGCTTGTTCACTGTCCCCTCCCTCCTTCCCCAATTCTGGGTGGGATGGGAAGGAGAATTAGAAGAATATAAAACCCACAGGCTGAGAGAAGAACAGTTTAGTAACTGAAGTTAAGTAAAATATAATGAGAATAGAAATAATACCTACAATAACAATACTAGTAATAATACTAAGGAACAACAAAAAAAAAAGGAGAAATAAAATTCAGAAAACACAATTGGTGCACAGTACAATAGCTCACTACCCAATGATTGATACCCAACCCCACCTGAGCACTGATTGGTCCTTTCTGTGTAACTCCATCCAGTTTATATACTGGACATGATGTGCTGTGGTATGGAATACCCCTTTGGCTAGTTTAGGCCAGCTGTTCTGGCTAAGCTTCCTCTTCACTGGCAGAGCATGAGAGATTGACAAATCCTTGATCAGGGTAAGTGCTACTTACCAACAACTAAAACATTGGTGTGTTATCAGCATTGTTCTCAGACTAAAGCCAAAACACAGCACTGCACCAGCTGCTAGGAAGAAAATTAACTGTACCCCAGCTGAAACCAGGACAAAGGGTCATGTCAAAAAGGACACAGATTACTTGAAGAACTAGCTTATATCTAAAAAACCTTCTTTAGAAATATATCCAGGATATAGAAAGACAGAAAGGCATGGAAAAAAAACAACATCTTTCATCTCTCCAGACATATTTCTCTTCCTCTGTGAAATCAAGTCAATTTTACTGCTGGTTCAACACACTTTGTATTCACATGTAACACAGGGAGACCCAGGTTGTAGCAGAGGGAATAATACAAGAACGTTCATCTCTCCTTCCCAGACTTGGAAAAATTTGGATACTCA